TGCATCTGGAGGTGTAGATGTCTGTGATGGTGGGGAGGCTGATTCAAACAGATTTCTGTGCAGCCTTCACCACTCTCTGCAAAGCTTTTCTTTCTGCAGCTGTGCAGCCTCCATGCCACACGTTGATGCTGGAGCACAGGATGCTCTCCACTGCACACCTGTAGAAGGAGGTGAGGACTGAGCTTCCCAGACCAGCTCGCCTCAGCCGTCTGATTTTTCGCCTCAGCCGTCTGATTTTATATTGAATCAAAGTTAAGGAATCAATATTGATTCATGTACATTTGACATTAAAATATTCAACTTTTTTAAAGCATTTACTATGTGAAACCCTTTAGAAAAGTTTAGTTTTAATTTCTGCTTATAGGTCTTCTTCATAACATACCATTACAAGTTTCTTCATTTAGTACTGGTGTTAAACACACAATATTGTTGGCAGATGATGGGTATTATGTTGTTCAAAATTATCTTACATTACCATATTTCCAAAAATGTGTGAACACAAACTTAAAAATGACAACATGACATTAATATTAAATTTTATTTAGGAAAACAGTCATGGTCAAGACAGCCAGCAACTTGTCCCTGAGCAACAGGTGTAGGCGATATGGTGGCAAATATCGTTTGTGATAACAGGTCAACACCATTTGCCTTCTCAGAGATTAAAATAAACAGATAAGGCAATTAATATCTTGCAAAAAGACCTGAAGCTCTTGACCTTGACCTCTCTAAGTGACTTTAAAACTCTGTTAAGTTCCTGGCAAAAACCAAAGCAGACATGCTCCTGTTTTTAGTTTTCTACAACCCCTTATAATCTAGCTGTTTTTTGCTACTATTCTTCTTGATTGTCCTTTTGGTTGCTATTTTGTTTTGATTTGTAAAAAAAAAAAAGAAAAGAGAAACTTAAATTTGTATGCCTATTTTATGACTATTGTTGTCTATTGTTGTCATCACTCTTTGTTAAAATCAGGTCTCTCTTGTAAATGAGTCCCTGAGGCTCAATGGGATTAACCTGTAGAAATAAAGGTTAATTGATAAAGGTTGAATGAATGAATGAATGATAGCACATGGTTCAATGTCGGAGGTATGAAAGTGTCACCATGGCTTTGAGAGATCAATGTCAAGAGGGTGGGGGGTCATACTGCCACAGTTATCAATGACTAGGCAAGGGTGTCCACAGTACCAACCAACTGACATCAGAGTTAAGTAAAAAAAAAATGCTAACCTCATTCCGACACAGTAGACTAGGGCTGCAACAACGGATCGATAAAATCAATAAAAATCAATTATTAAAAGTGTTGGAAACGAATTTCATTATTGACTTGTGTCATGCGATTAAGAGTCTTTCATGGCGCTGCAGAGCCATTTTGTTCACCTGCAGAGCATTGCCAATGGCTGACTGAATAAAGTAAAAAAAAAAAAAAAACTCTGCAGCGTGAGTTGAACAGAGCAGAGGGTTTTCAAAGGAAATTAAGTAAATTTTACAAATGACCGACACAAAGAAAACTGTTTGACCCAAGTTCTCCAAAGTGTGAGAGCACTTGACGCTTCACAAAGATAAAAACTGTGCAACATGCCGCTTTGAAAAGTGACAACACGACATGGAAGAACCACACTGATTAAACGTAAACATATGGGAGTCGTATGCCAACTTCACCGTGGTGTGGATGAAGGATCAGCAGCAGGTGAGTCTCTACAATAGCCAACATTTGTTCTGTTTCCAAGTGAGAAAACGTAACGTCAGACTCTGGTATCTGAAGCTGCTGCTTGTTCGTCAGCTGATTACTGATGGTGACAGAGAATGTGTGTGTTACTTTTTATTTAATTGGTACAAGCAGTGTTCTAACAAAGATGGTAATAATTTAATGATTAAGCTTCAACTTTTAATTTGCTGGCAAAGTCTGAAGACACTGCAAGTATGGCAGGATGAAAATAATTTATTTCATCTACTCAATTGTGTGTGATTAGTATTTTATACATGTGTGTGTTTAATTGCTCTTTGGGCTACTTACTTGCTTTAACCTAACACTGCAAGGGAAAAAAGGCATTTCTTGACTTTTTTCATTCATTCATTCAACCTTTATTTAGACAGGTTAATATTTATAGGAATCGACAAACTCAATAGGGGCACCATTTGAGGATAAAATCAAGGGAAGAACAGCTGGGACCGACTTCCTGTTTTGCTTATTTTATTCTTTAGATTGCTGTGAGATCAAAACATTTTATAAAGTAGCTGCACATTTAAACCAGACAAATGCCACGGACATGATACAATCATTATTACACACGTTTTGTCATTCTTTTCCAGACTCGTGTTGAAATCTGAAATACACTTTAAATTACAATTTCATTTGTTGGTAAACATTTTTCTCCACAAATTTAATCTTATGACTAAAACAAGAATCTGTTTTCAAAGTAGCTCCAAAAAATAATAATTCCACGATAAGAAGCTTCCTTCATTCATCACATTTCCTTTAAAAACATCTGGTTGACGAACGCCTCTGGTTTCCAGATGTGACCTCAGACAAAGAGTCAACAACTCAGCTGTGAGGCATCGACCAATCAGAATGCCCGCGGTCATCTTCAAGCTTCGAACCACAATTCCATAAATAAATAAAAAAGACTGGAGTTTTCCAAGCATTTACTGAAATAATTCATTTCCTCTATCATAGAGGCCAAACTTTTTTTTTGGTGTCAGTTTACACACTTCCTGTTTCAGTTCGCTCACTTTCTGTTTGTTGAAGCAGCCACATGCTGCAGTGAGCGGCGCTGTGGCTTGTAGTAAAAGTGCATGCTCCAGTCTGCCAAAAAAAATATTATTTTTAAGAAATCCACATTTAAAAATCACGCAATCCTGTACAAACGAGAATTTATATTTACACCAAGTAATATGAATGAATTAACAAAAAAGGCAAGTGTCACATGTTTCTCCTGATTAAGTAACAACATTATGAATAAGTTCCCTGGTGATTGTTTCTGGACACAGGTCTATAAAAGATCTTTGACACGTTCACATAGGATTCAAATCCTATCAGGATTTGAGGTGTGTGTGTGTGTGGGGGGGGGGTCCAGGAACTGTCTGGGATGCAGATTGTGGACTTCATGCATTATGCAACAAGTGGCTTCAATCATGCCCCTGGTTAATGGTCCATAGCGACCGCACTACACTGGTGGGTGCTCTTTATGAAAGAGTCGACTTTGACCACAATAAACTGAGTAAAACTCTTTCACCTGGACTGGAATACAGTCTTTTTTACCTTTACTCTCTGAGATTGATCCCCATCACATTAGTTTGTGATCAGTGATCTAGAGGAGTGGGAGTAAATGATATAAAAAGTGTCTTGTCAAATTTGATCTAAATGAATCCCAGTGAAGTTACACTTGGAAAACTTCCACAAGAGTTTTTTGATAGAGTTACTGAGGACTTGTGAAAGTCAGTTCATCCCCACAGTTGATCAGGTGTGGGGTCCAGAAACCAAATCTTCCACTCAGTGGATTCCAGCTGCCACTCACACTGAGATTTCGTAGGTAGTGCCTCCAACCCCCATCACCTTCTTCACCTTGCCATTCCGAGGCTTATAGATGGGGCTCGGTATCATTGGTGTGTTGAGATGGGCCCGTCCAAGTCGGGCCGGTGCTGAGACTTGGTGAGTGGGAGTAGAAGGAGCAGAGCAGGAGGAGGAGGAGGACTGACTGCTGTTGGTCTGACCTAGAGGTTGGATCAGGATCGGCTTATCTCTGATTTGACAAAAAACGGAAAAACAAAACATTACATTAAGGACAGGAAGTGCTGGCTAAACTTGATGAGGTGGTGCTGGCTAAGCATGAGAGACAGAGAGGTCGGTAACACTAAACACTTAAAGACATGTCAGACAAGAACATTGGTTATGTACTGTAAACCCAGATTATTTTTGTATAGGTTCCGCCCTTTAAGGCTATCGCTAGTGGGTTAAAGGCGAAGCACAATGCAGTCTACCTCACTAGGTTCGTTCAAAACCATAATCAGATAGATATCCACTTACACTTGAAATGATCCAACTTGAACCTTCAAATTATTCATAATCATGGGCCATTGAATCTTTGGCCTGAGATGCTCTGAGCAACAGAGAGAAATAATCTCTGCATTAAACTGAAGGCTGAAATAAACCTGCTGTTGTGAGAACAGGCAGGATGGAGAGCTCACTGAAACATTTGCATCATCACTCTGACAAAACGCTGAGGACCGAGAGAGTCGGAGAAGCTGGAGACCTCACATAAATAAAAACGATTGAATGAGCATGGAGAAACCCAGGAAGCTGCTGTGCAGATGTCCTGCACTGACGCTCCCTGAAGAGCTGTGGAAAATGAAATCCCTCTAGTGGAATGAGCTTTGAGTCCCTCTGGAGGCTGACATCTAGACGAAATGCACGCCTGTGAAACAGCCTCACATCGCCAGTATAACAGGCGCTGAACAGACAGAGGGAGTACTATAGACTGATCTCTGAAGCACGCAAACAGACGCTGAGTACAGCGCAGTGTTTCCCCTACCATTATACAAGTGGGGTGCCTCGCCCCATCAACGGAACCAAACGCCCCGCCTACCAAATCGAACGCGAGATTCAGCAAGACAGGCTCTGGAGGAGTCCTTCAGTGCTGCAGGCTCTATCCAGGTACAGAGGAAGGAAATTTGGAGCATTATGCAGCGCTAAAAACAGTTTACGTTGGTCAGAGTTGTTGAAATTAATACATATGGTTATGAAATAAGTAACTAAATAAATTCAAGCTTCAACAAATAGTTGCATGAGCTCATTTTGGAGTAATAATATCTGTTTCACTGATGGTCACATGGGTAAAAAGCCTAGATTTATTCAGGTAAGGTCTCCTAAAGAATTGATAATTTAAAGTGGACTACATAGACTATGTGTGTCATCAAATTATACAGAGCAATGGTGATAAAACAGCCTTGGTGAACTCTGAAAAATATATACTAGAAAATATGGATAAAAATATAACATTATCTTAAAAACATATCTATTATTATTATTTAATAGATATTTAATAATTCTTTAATAGTTTTATGATTTTCTTTATTTTCTTATGTTTCGTATTTGAAACACCATTTTCATATATGTTGATTGTGCCCTCTCTTATTTCCTGTTGTTGTATGAGCTCAGCTATATTGTAAATGAGGTCACTACCTCAACATACTCTGAGTTTAAAATAAATAAATTACTTTGATGTCTTGCATTCTCTATGCAGTGTTTGATTTGAAATATACTGCTTTTTTTTAGGTTTACCTGACACATTAGGTGTATTTGCACAAAGTATCACTATTGGTTTCAGTATCACTGATACTAGCCTGTATTTTACCCGGTATCAGTATCGGACCAGAAATCCTAGTATTGAACAACACTACCTGGCACTGATAGCACTAAGCTAGCAGTGCGCAATATAGGCAGGCTAGCTAAAAAGTTCCCTCACATGCTGGAACCCCGCCCCCGGTCAATCAAAAGACTGTCGGTACAAACAGCGCAAAGCTCAGATGTGTCCTAGTCCCCAACCCCACCCGTTCCAAAACTGTCAATAAAAACAGTGCACAGCTCAGATGTGTCTCTGTCTACCCCCAGCCCGCATTAGAAAGCTGTCGGTACAAACAGCTTGCAGCTCAGACGTGCCCCCCCCAAAAAAACCCCCAAAAAAATCATGGAAGAGTGCCCTACCATGGCAAGTTGTCTAGGGGAAACGGAGCAGCGTGATGCGGCTGTGTGCTCGACATAACAAGAGGGGACCCATCCAACTTTATAACTCAATCTGTAGGAACTCGTGATGCTTTTAGGAGTAAAAGCTGGGTTTGGACGCAGCCCAGCTGAGATGCCATCTCCTTGGATTCTGAGGCAGGACAGAGCTACAGACAGGGCTGATAAGTCACTCGCTCTCTTTGCTGGCATCTGTACTAACAGCAGGGCTGTTTTAAAGGACTAAAACGTGAGACTTGATCTAAAGGTTCAAATGGTGCTTTAGTCAGCACAAATAAAACTAGCACTAAATCTCCTGATGCATGCTCAATACTCCGCGTAGAAAAATCCAAAACAATTAAATCTGGTCCTCTGGACATTCAAAAAAAACCCCACAAAAATAAAACAAAACAAAAAAATATAGAAACATTTCTTCTCTCATTCAAGAGACTTCCTCAGTCTGAGGAGCTGTATTCAGCTCAGTCTCTTAAATAGCACCTTCTCAGAGTGGATCAACCAGTTTGCTGCTGACAACCAAAACCAGCTGATCACATGCTCAAGAAGGACCATCAGCCTAACGATGGATCATTAGCACCTGATGGCTGTTTACTGTTCACAGAGGGCTGAGTGATACTAGCAATCACAGCATTGTAAGAGGGGGACAGTTGAACACGTAGGCCTCTACCCCTGTTTAATGATGGACGGTTTCTTTTCACAAAGATGGCCTCCTTTACTCCTCTCTCAAACCATCGTTCCTCTCTATCCAGGATGTGCACATCTTCATCCCTGAAAGAGTGACCGCTGGCCTGGAGATGAGTGTAGACCTCAGAGTCCTGGCCTGATGATGTTGATCTTCTGTGCTGGTCCATCCTTTTGGCCAGTGGCTGTTTAGTTTCCCCGATGTAAGACTGATCACAGCCCTCCTGACACTGAACAGCATACACAACATTACTCTGTTTGTGCCGGGGGACTGGATCTTTGGGATGAACCAGTCTTTAATGTATTTTGGGGTTTAAAAGCCACTGGGACGTTATGTTTAGAAAATAAACGTCTCAGTTTCTCTGATACTCCCTCAACATATGGAATGACCACTGGTCTGGGTCTGGGTTCCTCCTTTTCACCTGTTGGCTGACTGGAGTCCTGTTTGGGTTTCTTCTCTGCTTTCAGGAAGGCCCAGTTAGGATATCCACATTGCTCTAGAGCCTGTCTTGTGTAGGATTTCTCCTTCTGCCTGGCTCCTGAGCTAGTGGGGACGCTGTCTGCTCTGTGGTACAGAGTCCTGATGACTCCTAACTTGTGCTCCAAAGGGTGATGGGAGTCAAACTGCAGATACTGGTCTGTGTGGGTGGGTTTGCGGTACACCTCAGTTTGCAAATGTCCTCTATCAGAAACTGATCTCGCAGTCCAAGAAAGCCAACTTGCCATTTTTTACATCTTCTCGTGTGAACTTGATGTATTTATCCACAGAGTTGATGTGGTCAGTAAAATGTTGGACTTCCTGAGATTTAATTTTAGCCCAGGTGTCATCAACATACCTGAACCAATGACTTGGTGGTGTCCCTGAAAAGGACGTCAAGGCTCTCTTTTCTACCTCCTCCATGTACAGGTTGGCAACAATAGGAGAAACTGGAGACCCCATAGCACACCCATGTTTCTGCCTATAATATTGCTCCCCATATGTGAAGTAGGTTGACTGCAGGCACAGTTTCAAGAGTTGACACAGTTGTTTTGTGGAAAGTGTGGTCCTGCTGCTCAGAGTGGTGTCTGATTTTAATTTTAAACTGACCACCTCTACTGCATCATCAACAGGGACATGCCTCCGGGTTCAACTGTCCCCCTCTTACAATGCTGTGATTGCTAGTATCACTCAACCCCCTGTGAAAAGTAAACAGCCATCAGGTGCTAATGATCCATCGTTAGGCTGATGGTCCTTCTTGAGCATGTGATCAGCTGGTTTTGGTTGTCAGCAGCAAACTGGTTGATCCACTCTGAGAAGGTGCTATTTAAGAGACTGAGATGAATACAGCACCTCAGACTGAGTAAGTCTCTCGGATGAAAAAGACGAAACGTTTCTGCAATTTTTTTTATTGTTTTTGAATGACCAGAGGTCCTGATTTAACTTTTTTGGATTGTTCTACCTGGATTATTGAGCAAGAACCACTTTGGCCAGGATTGCCTCAAACTTGTTAGAGAGTTTGGGAAAACAGCAAAGAAGAGGGCAGACTACAGGAACTACTTGTGATTCAACCTGAGATGCAGACAAAGTGGCATCATTCCCAAGAGCCTGGAACTGAATTGGCAATAAAAGTGGAACCAAATGTGACGTGTGAAGGCAGTGCCAGAGCCTCCATCACTGCTCATTCTGGTTACAAACAAAGCAAACCATGGGGCCAAGTCTAAACAATAATTTGCTGATGTTCAGAATGAAAGTTTTAGCTTTAAACTTTTATTTATTTATTTCACCTTTATTGAACCAGACAAACACTAAGAACAGATTTTTACTGACAGTGCTGGCCTGGCAGCACCAGCATGTAGAGTTGTAGGGTCAACGGAAGGGAGGACATGAAATATAGAAGTCAATCACAAACAAGGACAACAACTTCTTGGTGATTCCTTTAACATGGACACATAAAGACGAACAAAACAACAATCACTGACAGTGAAAACACTCGGAGACAAACATGTTTAGCAAAAGGAAAAAAGGAGGAACTTACAGGAAATCTGGGAGGAGAAAAGGCACAAGAGGAGGAGCAGTCAGGTGGTCTCTCTGGGTTAGCAAGAAATTCTCTTCCATAGACAAAACTAAAACTAATACTCACTTCGGTCCTTGAATTGCTCCTCCCCCCATCTCTCCTCCACCACCTCCTCCTCCTCCAGCCCCT